ACACACGTGGAAATCAGGAGACTGGGGACTGCTCACCACACAGACCCCACCAACAAGAGCCTACCGCTTCGTGTCCAAACCGGACCCGATCAACTACCAGGCCAAGTTCATATCCTACCCTATCATCAAACACAACATTTACAAACTAGAGGTCATGAACAGAACACCACAGAACGAACAAATAGAAACCTACCTTCTTAGGAAGGTTAGAGTCTCTCACAGGAAACCCTGGATCATCTTTCAGCCGGAACTCAGCATTAAGGAGCTGGAATTCGACCCAAAGGAATTGATATGGGATCTGGGCGCCACTGGGAAATCGAGGACGATAACAGAATATGATGTAAAGTTCGGATATAAACTCGGACTACAAACCAGGGACCCAAATCCAAGGCAGAGAAATGGAGAAGCATACTGACCTAGGTGACACGATCCCCTTCACCATCCCCTGGACCAAATACCTTCTCATCAGACCTACCAGAATTCGCAGCTTGCAATGGCTAGTAGCACATGCAGCCCTTCCCGTCAACCAGTGGATACATACTAGAAGGAAACACTCTGACCCTGATACTTCGGAATGCTGCTCAATGTGCAGCAACAACTCTCCCGAAGACATCCCACACTGCCTCCTTTTCTGCCCAGAAGCGACATGGGTATGGAAGAAGGTCCGCGAGCTATGGTCGATCCTGTTCGCTTCGCCACCCCTTGACATTCCCCCTTTCTCTATCTTAATCCTAACTAACATACCCAGCAACACCACAGGCAGCAGGGAAGTATGGCTTACCTTGCTCAGGAAGCTGGCACTGTGGGTAATATGGAAACACGGATGCACTCAGACAATCGAGGGTGCAGAGGTGGCTAGGGAAGAAATGTGGGCACTACTGCTGAGCATGGCAGAGACGGAAATCAGAAGCAGATGGCGGAGAATAGTCAACTCTATAAGACACAGACCAGAAGGACGAGCAACCAAGAAACAGACCTTCATGAGGAACTAGCTTCTAAGGGGCCAGGTGGCGACGATAGTGGACAACAGGTTGAGGTGGAAGAAATGGCACCAGGCACAATCATGAAGTCTATAAGGTCGCCCGCCGGGCGTCCTGGCAGAAGGTCAAGAAGGCCCTGAAGAGGGATCAACAACAAGGCTAGCCGGACACACAACGAAGGACAAGGACAGGCAACAGAACACTGAGCCCCCCCCCCCCACTTTTCTCGCATTGCAGAGATTCATTCGACAGGCTCTGAATAGAAGCCGGAGAGGAACAAGTGGTCAGGGCAAGCTGACAGTCAATCCTCCTTAGAAGGAGTAATCAATGCTAGACGGAAGGAAGCGTTGTGTGGGTAAAATGTTGTGATCTTTTGACTTGCTGGGGGAATAGGAACCGGACTGATGCTCCCCAGAATGGATATGGAGCCAGGACCTTAAGGACCTGTTAAACCAAAAAAAAAAAAAAAAAAAAAAAAAAAGAGAAGTGGTAATTTCACGGGGGTGCTTGTATCAGATGTACCCATGTTTGCCCTGCTTGTCGCTCCCACTCTTTTGTAAACGTCTTCTTCATCTCCAGCTCTTCTCGATCTCTCTCTCCAGAACAGATAATTCTCAAGTTGTTAATATGCACAATCCCCATTGTTAGTCTTAGCAAGATTGCCGTAGTAGTTGGCCAGAGTGGAGATGACTAGCCATAGGACTTAGTCAGAAGGAACGGAAGGCGGAAGTGTAGAAGTGCAGGCCCATAGGAGAAATACGGAGAACAGGGACTGGATAAGTAGCAGTCCCCCTAGCTTTTACTGGTTTTCACAGACTTCGCACAGCATGGGTTGCTGAGGGTCTAGCCAGATTGCCCAGCAGGACAGAGTGAAGAGGGAGTTCAGAGGAAAAGTTGTTGATAACAGGGGTGGAGCTCTAGTACATCCTTCCTGGAAACGAAGTAGTCAATGCTTCTGTCTCAGGGTCCCTTGACCATAACGAAGGGATGCACAGACCTGGTTTCCGGCTTTTCTAGACCTTTCAGCATTTTCAATTAAAAATTCAGCCAAAAAAGAAAGAAAAAATTGGTGTAGTAGTAGTTGTTAAAAAAAAAAAAAAAAAAAACATTGATTTTGTCTTTGATGATGTCCTTTTTCCTCCTGATTTTCCTGCAAGAGGACACTGTTTATGTCATTGGCAAGAAAGCATACTTGGGGCGCGTAGGTGAAGTGTGGTGAGAGAGAGAGAGAGAGAGAGATGTGTGTATACTTGGGGCTTCACAACCGTGATGTGTGTATACACGCTGGAGGGGGGNGAGAGAGAGAGAGAGAGAGAGAGAGAGAGAGAGAGAGAGAGAGAGAGAGAGAGAGAGAGAGCACAGAGCACAGAGCCCTTTCACATTATTCAGACAACCCCTGCCGCTATTCCAAAAAGGACCCTGCCAAAAATTGGCAAGGGTCTCGTTGGCAGGAGAAGGGCGGTCACTGGACGGATCGTCACTGGACTTGTAGTAAGGAGGGAGTAGGCCAGCTATATATGGTGTAGCTTCGAATTCAGGTCCATGTTTCACCAGTTATGGGTTACTGACTTACTAACTCGGCATGTGATTTTCAGGGCTTCACTCCACTACGCACCAAATGTGCAAAAGTAGAATGAATCTTCTCCTAGAAACTGGAACCATACAAGCCAAACGTTTTTCTTTTCTGCAAGTGTGATGAGTGGAGCGAGGCCCTTAGGGCCACCGCACGTAAGAAAGGAAAAACAAAAAAGTGAGACAGCTACTGTATGTGCAAAACTAGAATGAATCTTTTCGTAGAAACTGGAACCATACAAGCCATATGTTTTTCTTTTCTGCAAGTGCTGATGAGTGGAGCGAGGCCCTTAGGGCCACTGCACGTAAGAAAAGGAAAAACAAAAAACGAGACAGCCACTGTGTGTTTGTACTACTTCGTAGTAAGTTCGTAACCCATAACTCTTGGAACACACAGACCTGAATCCGAATCCAGAATATATTGCTGGCCTGCTCGTGTTCTTCTACCAGTGCAATGAACGCCCTTCCAATTGAATGGGATCCGCGCTGCTTCTCAGCAGGGAACCCTTTGGAAAGGAGAATACTACCAATGAGTAGTACGAAGAGGCCCCAAAATATTCTCTTTCTGTGCACTTACAATTTTTAAAAGGGAGGGACACTTATGGGTAGCATGGCCTACCCTTTCTGATTTCTTTTATTATTATTATTTTGTAAATGTGCCGCATCACGTGCGCGCGCACGTGTATGCATGCGCGAGCTCGTTATCCCCTGTATACAAGCATGCTGCCTTCTTCCAGTTCACCTATTGCAGTTCATCATCTTTCTAAAAATTTGGAAAGGCTATAACTGCTGCTGTTACGGTGTGGAAATAAGAACCTGCTGCTGAGCGAGGACTTTAAGTAATCAGCAAAGAGGACTACTCTTAGCAGACACCTACCCTAGCGGGAGCACAGTGTATGCATGGATTTCTCAGTAAATAGATCAGGCGTGGAATCCAGCCCAGCGCATCAATGTGAGTGCCTATTTTCCCTTTCAACGTAGGAAAAACCTGGTATCCTGTGAATCAAGGAATGGTTTTGGTCTGTCCTCCTCTCTGCGTCTAGCCCAGCGAGGCGGGGGCCATCATGTTTGGTTCTTGCTAGTCCAATTTCTAAAATCCGCTCCGGGATTGCACATAGAAAAAGTGGCCACAGGCTAAGCTAGGGTCTAGGGTTTAGCTTTAAAGGGATGAGATTATGGATGCATTATCCAGGAAGTTTTTTTCGTCGGTTCCGGGGGGTTCCCCTCAAAAGCATAACACGGGGTAACGCTCCCAGACCCGGGCTTTATGTGGGGAGGCCTGCCCCTCTTTCTTTGAGTTGATAATAAAAGGGACCCGTTTAAAAAAAAAGAGAAGAAAAAAAAAAGGAATTGTTTTGGTCGACGGGCAGCATGTCTGGGATGAGTCTGCAAACTTGGTATCCTGTGAATCAAGGGAGTATTAACGTGGGGATGGGTAGGGTCCTGTCAGGACAACCATCGGCTGCTGCTACCAGCAATCACCACGGGTCGGGTCCAACACCCTGTGTTTTTATGAGAAAAAAAAAAAAAGGAATGGTTTTGGAAAGAAAAGAAAATGGAATGGTTTTGGGGAAAAAAAAAAGGAATGGTTTTGGGAAAAAAAAAAGGAATGGTTTTGAACACAGAAGCAGCAATCACCTAGTGCTATTGGGCCGAAGTAACTTGTAACCTGGGACGTGGGATGACTCTTCCTTACTGAATTAACATGACAAGTGAAGCGAAGTGATGTGGCTAAGTGATCCCCCTGAGGAAGTTGAGGTCATCTTGCATCAGCTGATCTTGAGATTTTAGCTGTTTCGTTTGTAGCAGGTTGTCAATTAGAAGACTTTGTGACGGATTGGTATGAGCAGTACAGGGAGAATGGGAGAGGTGGTGGAGCAGGGGATGTATATATGAATTGAGTACTGGAATTGGGCTTCCGAGAGATAGGATGACCAGAAGCTCTGGATGATCAAAGTTGTCAGGGAGGAAGAAGCATATAAGATTTAAGACTTAAGTTTGAAAAGGAGTCTTGGGTTCTGGCTGCCTAATCAAGGAAGCAGACTGTGTTTCTTAGAATCAAAGGATCGGTACGATTCCGTAGCCATAGGGTTTCTGCATAAAGAGGGAGAGGTAAACGGGTGAAGTGATTGGCAGAGTATAGTACTTATAGTCTTATATCCCTTTGTGTTCCTCGTTATTGCTCATAGTTTTTTTTGTTTCTTTGTTGTACTTTACATGTTCTTGCAGCTGCACATCTTTCTCTTCATGTCCTTTGTGCATCTTTGCGCTTGGCTTTACTGTGTGCTTCATGTGATTAAGTTCCTGCAGCTTCAGTCATTTATGCTTTGATTTTACTGTGATGTGTATTAGGTATGCAGATCAATGCACGAAGTGTGTTCGTGTTTTGGCTTCCTGAAAATCTTCATGGTTTTCTTTGACCAATCTTGTCGTTTATCAATTGTTCAGATTGAGGGTCCGGCTGCCTTCGATGTGCTGAAGAACTTTGAGCAACGGTGGCTGAAGTCTGCACGTTGGCCACATGATAGCGAACTTCTTAAGCTGGAGCGCATCCCCTGGATTATATTTCCAAGTAAAGAAGCACCAAAGAACGGGGATCCCAGGTTGAGGGTACATGCAGAAACCGACCCAAAGACATGGCACATTCAGGTACGCTATTGTCTGTTCGTCTGTGTCTGTCGTCATGATTGCTATACACAACTCCACACAAAAAGCAGGGGTGTGCCAGACTGTTTCGTCAGACTTTCACCGACAGTTCGCCCAGGATGCATTTGACTGATTGATATGGACTCATCATGTCATCCATAGATACCCCTCGGTGTGTGTGTGTGTGTGTGTGTGTGTGTGTGTGTGTGTGTGTGTGTGTGTGAGTGTGTGTGTGTGTGTGTGTGTGTGTGTGTTTTANGTGTGTGTGTGTGTGTGTGTGTGTGTGTGTTTTACAAAACTCAGAACCTCAAGGTTCTGGCTCCTACCATTCTGGGGAGCAACAGTCCGGTTCCTATTCCCCCAGCAAGTCAATGATGAGCATACACAAACACTCCTCCCCATTATGGCTTGGAGGCCCGAGTGGACGGCATTGATTGGTTGGCCACGTTTGTGTGGTTCAGCGCCAAGTGCCCACACACCCGTCTGCCGCCGAAGCGGCACACTTGCACATATGCATATGTACATTCATAGGTTTATTTGATCCATAAAAGGGCGGAGGGAAAAAAGTAACTTACCTAAGACAGAGGACTCCACCAGCCAGAAAGCACCGACCCCATTCTCTATAGGTCCAAAAAAACTTGGAGAGCCCTCCACGTCGGCCCACAAAACCACAAACCAACATAACACAAAAGGCTCCACTAACAAAAAAGCACGGACCACACATGACAATGGTCTTAAAAACGTTTAGAGCCCTCTGCGACGACCTACAATGCCACCACAAATCAAAAATACACCGTAGGCCCTGCATGCAAGACCAATCGTGCCATGAATCTCTCCCTGCCTCGCAACCTGCAGAATCAGATGATGTCCTAGCGCTACAGTGAGGCCACTGCGAGTACTATGCCGAATTCCACAATATCTCACACAAAAGCAGGAGCGCTATTGCTTAAAACGCCCTGGAAGCTACCCCAGTCTTCCATGTGCTCCGAAAGAGCAGCCCACGGGAATGACACCCACAGCAAGCACTCTCTGAGCGTGCTTGCAGAGATATTGTTGTGTGTGTGTGTGTGTGTGTGTGTGTGTGTGTGTGTGTGTGTGTGTGTGTGTGTGTGTGTGTGTGTGTGCGCGCGTGCGTGCGTGCGTGTTTTTCAGGGGATAAGACCTCTGTGACCGCATTACGGCATGGTGTGTCCACAGTATGCCTACAGAACACTCTAAAAAGAGCTTGCCGCCAGGGATGCAAACGGAAGGAATGCAAACATCCAAAGGTATCAGAGCACAGAAGGATGAAGGACAAGAACAAAAGCAAGTACAAAACTGAAAAAAAACAACAAATGGAAAGGAAACAGACGAGGATGTTGACAACTGTTTCGTTGGACTTGGCACTGACTCATCAGGAGTTGAAACCCTCAACCATCTGTGGAATCCCCAGATTGATGTTTTGAGTCATAATCACCCATAAGCCTCCACCATCTGCGGAGTCCCCATATTGATGTTTTGAGCATTTGCAGAATCCCAATATTGATATTTTGAGTCATAAGCTTCCAGCTATAACAACTCATAAGCCTCCACCATCTGTGGAATCCCAATATTGATGTTTATCTAGTAAATTCTGTATCACTCATAAACCTCCACCATCTTTCGGACCAACGCTTACTGCAGCATTCTGGGATGCTGCAGGGATTCCCACCTCCTGGTGGAAATTGGGATTTCAGGAAATTCGTAATTTTGTGAAGTTTGAGCTGACACATACTTGCGCTCTCGCCTTGGGTGTTTTGCGGCAGCGGGAGGTGGGAATCCCGGTGAGGAAAAACACCAGTCCTCCTCTTGCATGCATTATGTGTGCTCGTTCTGATTTTGTGTTCGTAAGTAGCCTGGGTATCAGGAGAACGAACGTCTTTGGGGTGGGAATCGTGGGATTGATTGACAATGTGAGTACTTCTGTGACGGCTGGGAACCTCACGTCAGAGGAGGAAGACTGTACTTTTCTTGAGTTCGAGAATTGTTACCCGGACAACCTGACCCTTAAGCGCACTGTTACATGCCCAGTTGGGCGATGTACATAATAAACCGAGGATCCGCAATGTGATAAAAAGGACTGAATGGACAATGCAGTGCAAATGAAATCTCAACAAGCAGTGTACAGTCTGATACATACGAAAATGGTGCTTTATAGCGCAGTGGAAGACTTAGATACAAGTCCTGACCTGACCGGGACTGACTTCTATCACGTAGTGTAAGACAGCGCAGCAGAATGCTAGAATACCAATGACTAGCCCAATCAATGTTGCAACGCAGACCAAACATACATCATCCTCATCACAAGGTGTGAAGGGACCTGGCGCTACACAGGAAGAAGGCGCCAGGCCCAGATCATGCACAGACAAAGAGGAGGGGAACAGACGAAGAAGAGGGGGAGAGATGGGAATGTCGTCAACACCAAGTCTTTGTTACGAGTCCCAAATAATCCCTCGTCAAAATGTCTGAAGCCCAAATGTCGAGTCTGGATCCAAATGTTGCCAAGCTCTCTCTTTCTCTTGTAGTCTGCTGATGCAGTGAAGTCAGGTAGCGAGAGGGTGAGAGGGAGATGGTGGACTGAGAGGAGGAAGAAGAAGAACTCTCTCTCTCTCATATGCCAGGTACTAACCTGTGAAGATGGAGCTGTGCTGCAGGTACTTCGAAGAGAGCTATGGCGCTGCAGGTAAGTATCCCTGGCCTCCGCCCAATCTCTCTCTCTCTAGTACTACTCTAGCTCCTATGGCGCCCAGCGCTGAAGACTACTGCTAACGCTACTAGCGCCCAGCGCTGAAGACTGCTGCTAACGCTACTAGCGCCCAGCGCTGAAGACTAGTGCTAGCGCTACAACTACCCCTGCAGCGCTCCTCCAGAGTGCTGCTGCCGAATCCGGAAGACTACCTCCTGCCTCCTGAACTGCAGGTGAAGTGCCTGGGAAGAACCTAGGAACTACCTGCAGCCTGCAGGGCGGGCCAGTCTTTTTTAGTGCTGGCCTGTCCAGGAGGCTGCTCTTGCCAATGCCAAAACGTGCCAGACCCTGGGGTTGAAGCTCAAATAAAGGTTGTCTTGAAAATAGGCCAAAAATGGCCTGAGCTAAAACCCTGGTCTGGTGCCTGAGTTTCAGGGCAGGTCGATCTTATGAGGGCCTGAAAATGGCCATCAGTTTCAGGCTGAAAAGACTCAGGGCCGGAAAGGCCCTGATTTAGGCTGAAACGACACAGGGCCTGTAGGCCCTTGTTTTCAGGCTTTCAGGCTGAAACAACACAGGGCCTGTAGGCCCTTGTTTTCAGGCTTTTGGGCTGAAAGCGACACAGGAAAATGGCCCTCAGTTTCAGGCTGAAAAGACTCAGGGCCGGAAAGGCCCTGATTTAGGCTAAAACGACACAGGGCCTGTAGGCTCTTGTTTTCAGGCTTTCAGGCTGAAACGACACAGGGCCTGTAGGCCCTTGTTTTCAGGCTTTTGGGCTGAAAATGGCCCATGCAGCCTGTTGCAGGCGCAGCATGTAACACGCACCGATGATGGGTCGTGTGCATGGGATTTTCTGGGCTGCGACAGTGCGAAGTCAGAGTTAGCAGGAATTTTCCATTCTTTGAATGTGAAAACACTCAGTAAACCCAACCATCCAACATTACGCACTAATGGTGGATAATAGTGCTCAAAATCACTCCATAGATAAGTAATAAGATAGAATCAACAGTCCATCTGGGATTCTGAAACATTAACGTTTCAGAATGGGCAGTCGTTTTCCTGATGGGGAAATGAAGTGCAGAAGAGTGCGGTCGTGGCCGTTTTCCTCATGGGGAAGTGAAGTGCAGAAGAGTGCGGTCGTGGCCATTTGTTTTCCTCATCGGGAAGTGAAGTGCAGAAGAGTGCGGTCGTGGCCAGTTATCTGCACCATATTGACTGCAACATTAAAACGTGCGAAGAGCGATAACATTAAAACGTGAGCTTGAGCCTTACGGGATTTCCTGAAAGCGTTTTGGCCATGGCCACGTGGAGCTTTGGGGGCAGAGTTATGCTTTGCTCTGTCCGAAACGGCAAGTACATTACATTACATGACTTTCAAGGTTCTGAACTTCTGATGGCTTATTGACTTTGATTATGGAGTGATTCTGACAGGGTTGATTGTTTTTCCCTGGTTCTCAGGCAGATATCAGCCTGTTTCCCGGTCCAAAGTGATCTGGACTTCGGTCCGGTTACTGTGTTGTCCTTTTAAACTTGTAATTTGGTTTGCTGTGCAGGTCTGGAGCCGGGACCTGAGTTTTTACGTGGTTTTGTGTTTGGCTTATTTGGTTCTGAATTTTTCGGATAGGATAGTACTCTACTGGTTCCCGAGCCCGGGCCGTAGCTGTTGTGTGGTTTCGGATTTGGCTCTTTAGCCAGGCAAGTTCTATACGGATTTGTGCGGTTTGGGACTGTACCGGCGCTGTTTCCGTTTGCACTCGGTGTTTTGGATCTGGTGACTAGTCAGAGGTCCTTTGACTGTGAAGCGGCACGTGCCATACTGGCCCGACAGCTTGACATCGTGGCTACTGTTAGTATAAGTGTAATGATTGAGATGTTTTGTTCCTCTCTTGGCCCAACGCTTACTGCAGCATTCCGGGATGCTGTGGGGAGGCGGAGTGGGCTTGGTGGAGTGATGGGACGAGGCTAGGGAGAAGTTCTTGGTGGAACTGGACTCCCTGAGGAAGATCACCTGGCAGTGATCGAAACTGGTTGGGGAGACGAGTTTTCCGAACTGTGTACTCTGTTTCAATCATTGTGTAAATGATCTCAATGGTTTTATCGTCATCTTTCTGATGATTGTGTTCAATACACTGGATAAGAAGAGTGCTGTTTGCTCCCCACATCCCCTTGAGGGCCCTTGCACTGGAGCAGATTGCCTGGTTGGCACCCCTGCCCCCGCCCGAGGTAGACCATTTGACCTGGATAGAAGACCGCTATTGGACCATCCCAAGACGCAGCGCACACCAGAGCGAGACAGCCCGGAGTGCAGTTAGCGCGGATTTGACACGGAATGACTTCTGGGTGAGGGCCCTGCTGGGCTGGCGGCAACCCCCATTGCAGAATAAGTTATCACCCGATAGATGGGAGGAAGTGATGAGGCAACCTCTGTTCGGCAATAGGAACATCACTGACTGCAACGGTTGGGTGTGCCGTAGTCCGGATGCCCCCTGGAACAGCTGGATAAAAAGAGGAGTAAATTCCGATATTCGGATCATATTCCTCAGTTCAAGGGACGCTGGGCCCCGTTCCCAGCAGTTGCAGCTCCCCACCAATAGGATGGAGCCATCCACCGGAGGGTCTCGATCCTGTCGGCTCTCTTACCGCCGCGGGACTGCAGAACCTCGCCGGACGATTGAAAACAAAAGGATATATGGGATCAGGGGAACGAGGACTGGAAGTTGGAACAGAAGTTGCTTCTGCCTCCGAAACACTGTCCTAACGCGGAGAAGTATCTGGAACAGTTAATCTTCTCCATGCCGCTAGACTGGGTGTGCATCCTGCGGAAAGGGCCAATGCTTGCAGAGAACGGCTGGGTGCATTCAGACAAAACCTTGATTAATCTCATCCATAGAAACAAGCAAAATGTCCTTACCAGGTACTCCCTGGATGCAGTGGGATGGTTTGGCAACACACAACTCTGCGGGACCAAGGTACTACGGGATAAGGATGAGTGGTTAGCTTTCTTACCTGACACCCTGCTCTTGCACTTACCCTTTGATCCTGTGGAATGGCTGTGGCCCCCTGCGTACAGACGAAGGAACTGCAAGAACACTCAACTTGTTAGTCTGGAGGTGAAAGCCACCTACAGATTGCTGAGACTGAAGGTTAACCTCAAAGGCATCATAAGGAACCGGTGGATGACTCACCTGAACATGGGAAGAGATGACATCAGACCCATCCATTCGTTCTGAACAACCAAAACTGAACCCGCAAAACTCGCCACCCTGTGCTGCCTGCCCACAAACGATTGGTTAATCGACCGCATGTATCTGGAACAGAAAGGTTTGGCACTCCTGTGGTGCACGTCATGCCACAACAGCTTCCCCTCCCACAGAATCCCGGAAACTATGAAACACATATTCCGGCAGTGCCTGGGGGGATCCTCACATGGCACTGGTGGGACAGGGTCTGGCGTCAGCTGGGAACTGAATCTACCTGGCCGTGGGACTGGAGATGTTACGGACTCAGCCAGGGCCCGATCCCTGGTCCGCGGGTTACCACCCGCCAGGCTGCTATTTTATTCTGAGTTCCTGATTTCCAGTTCTGGACTGCTGGCACCCTCTGCAGTTGGTGCCCGTTCTCAAATTCCTCCACTGGCATTTTCGGATTTCGATACTTGGCGCCATCTGGCATTCTGGCGCCCAGACGCAGACGTGCGATCCACAGTTCAGTCCTGAGGCAGGCCGCACCTCAGCCCTCCGGACTGAGCCTGAGTCCGGTACTTAAGTCCGGACTCAAGGGGGCATTCAGTCTTCGGCCTCAGTGCTTGTGCTTGAGTGTGACTTGCCGCGACTTTGTGTTCGGAATCCAAGATTGCGACTTTGCGATTTTGAGACTTTGTCACTTCGTGTCTGCGTCCGTCGTGTCGAGTCGAGTCGAGTCCATGTCCGAGTTGAGTGAGTGTGTGTGTGTGCTCTCACTCTCTCGCCCCCCCTCTCTCTCTCCCCCTCGACCTCTCTGCTCTGCCTCGGTCTCGTCACACTGGTATCGGAGCGGCGAAACGGCCCTCCTTCCCACCCTGCTCCGGCGCCACGTCATCAACATCGTCATCATCATCACCGTCTTCGGCGCCGCCATGTAGTCGCCATCGTCATTGTTGCCACGTCGTCGACATTGCTGCCTCGTCATCGTCGATTGCTGCCACGTCATCGCCATCGCCATTGTCTTCGTTGCCGCTGACACGTCAGCACCTCGCTGCCTTCGTCGTCGTCGCTGCCACGTCACCGGTCCCGAAGCCGGCACGCAGGTAAGTCACCGTTAAATTTTCTTTTATTCTTCTTCTCTTTTCCTTCCTCCTCCCCTCATCTCTTCTTCCTCTCTTCCAGCCCCCCTAACCGACCCCCGCGCGATTTCCCGGCCCCCACGCGCCGTTCTTCCCCGCTGCGCGATCTTCTTC